GAGGATGAGGGGTGTAAGAGGGATCGGGGGGGGGCTGAGAAGGGTCTGAGGGAGAGAGGGGCTGAGAAGGGTCTGGTGGGGGGCTAAGATGGGGGTTGAGAGGGGTCGAGGAGGAACAGAGAGGGGCTCCAAGGCAGCCCTTGCGCTCCCTGGGCTCAGCCTCCCTGCCCGTCCCCCTGTGCCCTCGGTGCCAATCCCAACCCCGTCCCCGCGTGCCCCCAGAACTTGAAGAAGAGCTGGCACCCCCAGACCCTGCGCAATGTGGAGAAGGTGTGGAAGGCGGAGCAGAAGCATGAGGCCGAGAGGAGGAAGATCGAGGAGCTGCAGCGGGAGCTGCAGGAGGAGCGGGCGCGCGAGGAGATGCAGCGCTACGCCGAGGACATGGGCACGCTGCGGTCAGGGGGCTGGGGACCAGGGGAGCCGGCAATCGGGGAGTGGGAGCGGCTGGGAGGGACCTGGGAGCACATCCAGTCCCACCCCACGGGCAGGGACACCTTCCCCTAGCCCAGGTTGCTCCAAGCCCTGTCCAGCCTGGCCTTGGGCGCTCCCAGGGATGGGACGGGGCGGCCACAGCTGCTCTGGGGAGTCCACTCCACCACCTCCCCACCCTCTCAGGGAGGAATTCCTTCCCAATATCCCATCCAAACCTAACTTTGCTTCCCTTTGAATCCCTTCCCCCTTGTCCTGCCACTCCAAGTCCTGGTAAATACTCCCTCTCCATCTTTCCTGAAGCTTCTCCAGGCACTGAAAGGCCACAGTTAAGTCATCCCTAAACCTTCTCCTCTCCAGGCTGAACAATCCCATTTCTCCCAGCCTTTCCTCATAGGAGCTGCTCCATCCCTCTGATCATCTTGGTGCCTCCTCTGGACTCATTCCAGCAGCTCCATGTCCTTTCTGTGCTGGGGAAATAACAACAACAATAATAATAATAATAAAACATTTCTATTCACCTCAAACCTTACGTTTTAAGCTTTAAACTCTACCTTCAGAACTGCAAGGAGGAAAATAAATTGGTGTTTGTTTTTTTTTTTTCCAACAGGAAAAGGGAAGAGAAGCTGGAGTGGATGTACCAGGGCCCCGGGGGGATGGTGAACAGGGAGGAATATCTCATGGGGCGCCCTGTGGACAAGTTCATCTTCGAGAAGGCCGAGGACAAGGAGGCAGGGTGTTCCAGCGAGACTGGGCTGCTCCCAGGGTCCATCTTTGCCAAGTCTGGGGCCAACTCCGTGCTGGACATGGCCAACAAAATCCGGGAGGACCCTCTGTTCATGATCAGGTGCTGGGAGGGAGCTCCAGGGAGGGGGGTCCTGGCTGGGAGCTGGGCTGTGGGGCTTAGAAACACTGCAGGGACACGTTTATATGTGTGTTTGAATTTAGACACGTTGGGAATGCCTTTAAATTCAAACATTTTGGACGTGTCTGTCAATTTTTATAAGTGCCTTTACAGGTATTTATCTTATAAACATTTATCTTAAAAGACATATTTATCTTAAAAGACATATTTATCTTAA